AGCAGGAGAGGTCTGCGCGCCATGTGGGACCCTACTCCGGTGGCCGGGGAGCAGCCGGGGATCAAACCGGCGCCGCAGAGGCCGCGGGCAGCTTCGCAACCCAGCGCTCAACCACTACGCCACCGGGGAGGCCCATCATTCTTCCTTTTTTGCACAATGCATGCTTTCTCCTTTCAGCTAAAATTCCCACCCTGTAAAATTCTTACCACCCATTCACCCTTGCACTATTACCATAGTCCCTTGTGCTCTTCCTGCCAATTTTGATACCTCTCCTCTCCTCCCCTACAGAGTATCTCTGATTTATAGTTGCCTGTTAATTTTGTTTTTTAAATTTGTTGTAATTATTTTTTTTCCTGAATCCTTCTTTGGTTCCCGTACATTCTTCCTATAAGTAAAGCCATCTGATATTTTTATTTTTCTTTCTGGCTTATTTCACTGAGCATAATCTCTTGGAGCCTCATCCATGTTGCTGTAAATGGCATGAGTTTATCTTTTTTGATTGCTGAATAGTATTCCATCGTGTATCTGTACCACATTTTCTTGATCCAGTCAAACTACTTCCTTTTCAAGAGACTGATTGTTAGGATATAAGTGTGTGCTTGGCATTAGGTGCTCAGCACACATTTGCTCAAGGAATATCAATGGACAAACAGGAACTTGGAGAAAAAATCCTAACCTCTGACTGCCTGTCTTGCACTATCTTCCAATCTTTCCATTGCTCTCTAACCAAGTCTTCTAAGCTTCTTCTAGCCTAATATTTCCAGAAAACACTGTAGTGTAGTGTACCCGTGTAATGAATGTTCATTAACTGATTATATTCTTTCAGTAATCTCAGTTATGGTAGATTTTAATAACTATAAATTCCTGTGTAAATGGACAGAATTCCTTCAATTACGTATTTCAACCATAAATGTTTCTTAATTAGTTTACAATCACATATTGAACAAAATATTTTATCAAATTCTTCTAGTTATTTACTTGACAGATATTTTTGTGTATAGTAGGTATTGTGCTACAGGCTGGAAACTGAATCCTAGAGAGAACTTTGGCGAATAGAAAATAGATCTTAGTTCAGTGTATACTATTTCTGACTTTTTTGTATAATGTCATTAGGTTTTGTCAAGAAAGCTTATGGAACTTTGAGAAAAGAAGGAAAATGATGACAGAAATTTAAAAAAAACTTTCTCTCATAGAATTCTTTAGGACTAGATTGAAACTTGCTATGATGTGTCCTCAAATCCCACAAGACACCCCACATAATACATAAACAGATGTGTGCGCACACTGCATTTGCATATTTGAAAAAACAATGGCAATAAAAACCCTAGATCAAAGAAAACTATGAAAACTTGTCAAAACTAATTTCTGTAGCACAGAATAATTTTCCCTTTATATTGCACAGGTTTGCATGGGTCCAGGGTAAATAAAAAAAAAAAAATATTTGTGAAATAGTCCAACAGCAGAAGCATGAAAACCAGGATGCCTGAGATTAAAGACAAACACTAATGCCAAACTTTTTTTCTGGATTTTGTGGGACAAGAGTTTACAATCAAGAAACTCTATATGGAAGTAATGCAATTCTCATGCAGAGAAAAGACAAGTGCCTGGCAGATGGAACTGTCTAGACAAAAGAGAACCAAAACACAGAGCTGATTATGGGTTATGTAATTCACTAGACACAGGGGTATTCAATAATTAAAATAACTGTTTTCTTCAGGCAGAAAGTTGAAATAATTCATAGAGCAACTGTGGTCTGCTGGATTTCATTCTCCCCTTGATAGGTACAAGGAATACATGTTAAATGTGTAACTTCTCTGACATTGCTTATTTTATTATGAGTTATGCTTATGAAGTACATAAGGGAGAGTTCTACTTTATTTATATACAAATTTGTGCCAGTTTGTTGGCCAATAAAGAAATAAAAAGAAAAATAATATAGCAAAAAATTATCTCTTGTTCAGTAATAGCACCAAAACCAGGACAGGGATTAGAAGTATTTCTGCTCTTTTCCTGAATCTGCAAATTCTTCATGATTAATTAGTCCCTTCCAATTCCCTGACTCCAAAGTATGTTATTGAAACACCATTATTTCTTCTAGTGTAGTGACTTCTGAGATTAGCAGGTTAGACTGGACCAATCAGGGAGAGTCCAATAAAAAGTGAGAAAGTCAAATTTTATTTTGAGGACAACAGGTTTCCATATCCTGTCTGGGTAGAGAAATAAGGTGATTAGAGATGTGGGTGAGAGATGTGGATTCTTCAAATCCATTCAGTCACACCTAGAAACTGTTGAACCTTTTAACAGATCACAAGCTGAATCATAGTAACTTGTTTTTTTGACTTGAATAATGCCAGAGGTCATTTAATCCAATTCCCCTAAGAAAACTTAACATTCTTTCTATAATATCTCAGGAGAAAAGCCCTGGGGACAAAAGATTGAAGGAATAACACACATTACTTTATTTACTTGAATTGTGAACATGCCGTTTGAGACCACTGTGTAGGCTAGAGGTGGGGGTGGCGGGGTTGATGGGTTTCATCAGAGACAGAGTAGGGAACAGAACAGGCAGATCTACTGAAATACATTGCTGAGGGTAGCAGCAGGCAAGACAGGAGAGGTCTGCTGCACTCTGTTGGTCAGCAACCTGGCTGGGGCTGGGACTCCTGCCGCAGTGGCTGTGGACATGTTCACAGTGCTGAGACTTAATCCCTTGTGCTAGCAAGGAGGACTTAGTGCCTGTTTGCTGGTTTTATACATCCTTTATATGGCTTTCATCTCCACATTTCTCTGGAAGATGAAGGAATTTAGCGATGGACAATCGAGGTGTGAAACACTGAGATTTCTTTATATTTGTTCTGACTTCCAGCAAGTAGAATATAAATGTAGATACAGGGCACAAAGAATAAAATCGAAACCATTACATGAGAACTGCAGGTGGAGAGAGCTTTGCACTGCCCTGTGGAGGAGTGCATCCTCAGATTATATGAGTATGTAAGAAACTACTAGGACCAGGGAAACCACAGCCACCCCCATCCCTGAATTTGCAATCATTAAGATATTAACAACACAAATATTTTTGCACATGAATTTCAACATCAGCTTCACATCACACAGAAAGGCAAATGGAGACTCACAAGCAGGAGAGCAATAGCATGCAAAACACCCACACTCCAGGCCATGACAATCAGAAGGTTACATCTGTGCAGGTTCATGATCATGATGTAGTGCAGGGGCTTGACTATGGCCATGTAGCAGTCAAAATTCATGGACACCAAGATGAATATTTCCACAGCTGCCAATAAATGAGCAGTGAAGAGCTGGGTCATGCAGTTGTTATAGGAGATGTTTTTTCTTGCTGCAGCTAGGTCCCGGTTTTGCCTGGGGATCATGGTGGAGGTGTAGCAGAGGTCCATGAAGGAAAGGTGGCAGAGGAAGTAGTACGTGTGCTGTTGGATTAGAAGGCTGCGGGTGATAGTGTATAGGATGATGAAGACATCAAGACAGTCAGGTAATAAAGCAGGAACAAAAGCAGGAAAACAAGCTATATTTGCTTATTTTCCCAAACACCCATTAAAAACAAATTCTGTGACATTGTTCTGATTTTACATGAGGTTGAGTTCAATCCAGAAATACAACAGAAACTTAAGTTATCCGAAATTACACAATGTATCTGTAATAGAAAACAATACATCTGTAATAGATTTTACATTTTGGAGAAATTTATATATTTAAAAATTGTAGATCATATAGAATTTATTACAGACTTGATCTTTTAAATCATTTTTAGATTAAGGTACTGTGATATATCAAATGATATTTAGTAAGATATTAAATATAGTAATGATATTAAATATCAGTACTAGACTTTATGCCTGGTACTACTATCAACATTTTGCAGGTATTTAAATTATAACAAGCCAAATGGATTATTTTGATACACATTTTACTATACAGAGAAACACCAAAATATGAAGGTTCTGTTAATTATACAAATTCACTAAGGAATTAAACAGCAATTTAAGATACAAAATTGTATCTGAAACAAACCCATGTTCTTGAATGCTAGGTAACATTACACACTCTATGAAATCCCAGCTCTTCTTTCTTTCTTTTTTTATTTAAATGTTTTATTTTATATAATTCTTACATCTTTTTTCATCTTTGCACAATGTATGCATTTTCATTTTGGTTATATTCCCCATGACATTGGGTCTCTCTTCATCTCTGCCATTGACTGCCTATGTAAAGTTGAAGAGGTTTCAAATTTGTCTGTACTACATGTAATTTAGTTATAAAACCCAGTCACATACCAACCTTCCATATATCAAACAGATCTATTTATTCTTTAAGTGAACAAAAATCAAGATTTTCATTGTAACAGCCTTAATTAGTTGATAATAGTTTCAGTCACTGGCCTTCTTGGTAGATTTGGTCAAATCAAATCATAGAGAAATTGAAAGCAGGAAACTAAAGTCACAACACTGGGCATCTGATTTTAAGAACACAGGCCATTAGTATACAAAATAAAAAAAAATTGCAACTTTTACCTATATATTCCAAAGACACATTTTATAGGTTTCTGTTGAAAAGTTAGAAATACCTTGGAGAGCCAGCTGTTCCTACTGACTAACTGAAGAACCCACTGTAACTAAACAATGACGTACTTATTTAAACATGAATTTAGAACAGTGCTACCATTTTAATTTTGCATATCTAGGCACAGAGAGTTCACATGTTGAAACCATCACTTTCTCCCATACAGCAAAATCATGAATTACCTAAAAGACTTTTTTAATTTCAAAGAATTGGGTTTTCTTTATTAGTGGTACCAATAAATGATCAATACAGTTCAGAGGACACATCCCTCGTCTATAATCATGAAGATAAATGTCCAGTCTCACATGTCCTTTTAATTTTTTATTCTTAGCACTGCACAGCTCACTGCCTCTGAGACTATTTCAACTGTCAAGTAGAACTAATAACGTTGAATCTGTTTGCTTCATTCCCAGAAAAAGGTAAATGAAGGTCATGTGAAAATATAAACTCTAAATGACTTACAAACTTGTCAGGTTATAGGACAGTACTCCCAAAAATGGTAAGGACAGTATCTGAGTACTGTGTAAGGAAATAAATAGCAGCATTCTTATCAGTTAATTGGTTTTATCTGTGAAATTTACTGACCAAGAGATGTGTTGAAGAACTCATAGAAGATGTAAATTAAGTATGGGGAAGAAACATAACTGTTGGTATAAATTTGATCTGGTTTATAGTGTTCAGCAAAATAATTTGTTATCTATATTGATACTAACCAAATTTCGTCTTTAATTATGTGGAAGAAGCTCCTCAATTAAAGAACATAATGGAACCTAAGGACAACATTTCATTAAAATGTGGGGGGAAAAAACTATACAAAGAGAACCAATACAGTAGGAAACAACTTTTGGCTTACGTTGTTTCTTGAACATCATCATGAACATTCAGTTCAGTGCCTCTGCTTACAAAGATAATATTCATTAAATCTGACCCAGTAAGCACCAATCATAAGAAAAAAAATATAAACAATAAAATCTCCTTAAAATTTAATTTTATGTATTACCAAATCGTGGGATTACAGGGTCAAACTTCTACAAGGGTATGCTTTCACACCCTGCCCACTATCACAGGACCACCATGTTCCATTTGGCCCTTTCCTCCCTCACTACCATACCAACATCCTCAATGTCTGGTCAGAACTGGTCAAAATAAGCCAGAGCTGATCAGAAACAGTGGGAGCTGGTTTAAACTGGTCAATATAAGTCAAATTCAGAACCAAAGCAGTTGGAACTAGCCACTACTGGTAAGAACTGGTCAACCAGCCTGAGCAGCCAAGGATGGCTGGAACTTATTGCAGGTAATCTGAAGTAGTTAGACCTGGATGGAAGCAGTCAGAATAGGTCAGAACCAGTCAGAACTCATCAGAGGCAGTAAGGACTAGTTGCCCCAAAGAGTTGGAGCCAGTGGGAATCAGTAGAAAATGGTTAGGACCAGTCATAACCAGTCGAAGCCTCTCTGAACAGGAAGAGACCAGGCTGTCCTGATCAAGACTGCTTGGAAACAGTGGGAACTGGTCAGGATTGGTCCAAATGGGTCAGACTGGGTCAGAACTGAACCAAAAGAGCCAGAGTTGGTCAGATCCAGTGAAAGCCAGCATATGCCAGTTGGATCAGGAATACACTGACCTTCTGGGTATTTTCTTCTACATCACACATATAAATTAGACCACCTGGTATTTGTCTTCCTCCTTCTGATATATTTCTTAAATTTTTCAATCTTCCACTCCTCAGATGTCACCATTTCTAAAATGTAAAGTTGATCCCTGCTTTAGGAAAACTAGGGGAAACCAAGTTCAGGTAATAACAGGAGGCTCTCATCTGTTCAGTTTCCAAGTGTAGGGAATACAATTCCCCACTCAAAAATGGTTGTTTCTCAAACCTGTCTCTCCAGAATACCTGCTTCTAAGACAAAGCCTTTCAATGATAATTAATTCCAGGGAGAAAAAGCAGCAACTATAAGAAAAGGTCCTTGAATCTTAACAAAAATCCCTTTAAATATCCATGCAAGCCAACGAGTAAATGAGCTTTGCTGATCACATCTCCAGAAAAGGACTAATCATGAGCGACATGACACACGTGAGAATATTTCCTCCACACTTTCTGCGTTTTGCTTGTGGGAACAGAGTCATCTGTAGAAGATCATCTTTCTATTATGTTTCAAATGAATCCCTTCTAAATGCATATTCCAGGTGTTCTATGAAACATTAAGATTCTACGATTGAGGAAAGGACTGAGACTCACAAAAACCCGTAGCTAGTGTTTATTGTATGATGGCTAAACTGAGTAGTCTCTTTTTGAGTGTCATATCTTTCATACTGAAAGTTGCTTATTCCAAGAGGATGTCAGCTTGAAGACGGCATTGTTCTGAACATCCCCAAACATCATTAAGGGAAACTAGGACTGTAAGGTAAGCTTTTTTTTTTTTTCCATTAGATTTATTTATTTATGCATACAAGAGCTGGGGTACAGGCCGGAGATGCGGGGGCTGATAGTATTCACCAGAGACAGAGCGGGGAACAGAACAGGCAGACTGACCTAAGTACACTGCTGAGGGGATCAGAGGGAATGTTAGGAGAGGTCTTATGCACCATGTGGGTAGCTCCCTGGCCTGCTAGGGATAGAACCTGTGCTGCAGAGACTGTGGATTGCTTCATAGTGCGGTGCTTAACCCCTTGCACCACCAGCGAGGCCCCCTGTTAAGGTAAGCTTTTCAATAGTGCTAATGCTTATTAAAGATTGTTATTTCTCATATATGATCAGCATCACATTTCCAGACTTCTCAAACATGGTATTTGTACATTTCAACCTCACCCCTTTTTTCCAAAGATAGGTAAATAGCATCAACCTCACCTGGCAGTTGAAAAATCTAAGACTCCTAGAGATTAATTATAGTATGCAGCTCTCTAACACTAGACACAAAGGAGACATCTCCTTTAACAATCAAGTTTCATCATGAGAATGGAACACAAATTAAATACGATTACACATAGAAAAGATGTAAGTATGAATATTGACATCAGCTGTCAGCTGTTTAGTGAAAGCACAAACAGAGTTCTCTTCCTTGAATTAATTGCTGTGGATAATATGATTCTTTAATGCAAAATTGGAAATGATGCCTCATGAACTCCTTGCTTAGTGAAATGTCTCTCTGTATTATTGATCGAAATTCCAATTCTTCCTGTCTCCTAAGTACATTCACAAAAATAATGAAAGTCCTATGTGTGTCCACAGGAGGGTAGTAGGTATGCTCATATTCATTTCCATAACTAATTTCCATAAAGCTTATATGTCTTTATTAGTATCCCTGCTCTATATATGAAGAAACAAATAGGTAGGGTGCCAGCAAAATACCCACGTTAGAGAAGTTGCAAGTGGAAGGACCAGAAATCTAGTATTGACATTTTGATGCTCCATAAACTTATCCACTATGGAACTCATTTCAAAATTTTATGAAAGAGTTTTGCGATTCATATTTTTGAAGATTTACATATGGAAAACTGGGTTTGATGGAACAAACCTCAGTAAATGTTATATAGTATTCTAGCTGATGTATGGGAATTGAAGCATATCTGTGTGTGCGCATGTGCTGGTGAAATTGTCTTACAAACACTTGCATATGAAATAATACTAATCATTAAAATCATTATAGGGGCCTCTCCGGTGGCACAGAGGTTGAGTGCTGGGTGGCAAAGCTGCCCGCAGCCTCTACAGGTCTGTTTGGATGCCGGGCTGCTCCCCGGCCACCAGAGGAGGGTCCCACATGGTGCGCAGACCTCTCCTGCTGCCCGCTGCTCCCCTCAGCAGTGCACTTCTGCCTGTTCTGCTCCCCGCTCTGGCTCTGGTGAATTCTCTCACCCTTCCGTGCTTCTGACTGTACCCAGTGCTTGTATAAATAAATAAATAAATCTTTTTAAATAAATGAATAAATGTCTCCTCACCTTAAATTAAAAAAAAAGGTTTAAAATCATTATAGTCATATTAAATGTTGTTTACTAGTTCAACATTGTTAGTTATAACAGTAATGGCATACGAAAGAATCTAGAGATAAAAAAAGCTAAATATAATCTGACCTAACCTTGACTCTGTGCTTAATTAGCTTGATCTTAGACATGTTTCATAACCTCTAATTCTTTTATTTATTTTTTTAAAGATTTATTTATTTATGCATACAAGAACTGGGGCACAGGCCAGAGGTATGGGAGGGTGAGAGGATTCACCAGAGACAAAGTGGGGGCAAAACAGGCAGAAGGACTGAAAACAATGCTGAGGGGAGCAGTGGGTGAGACAGGAGAGGTCTGCCTCCCCATGTGAGTATTTCCCTGGCTGGCCAGGGATTGAACCCGTACTGCAGAGGCTGTGGATAGCTTCACAGTGCTGCACTCAACCCCCTGCGCCACCAGGGAGGCCCTATTATTTTATTTTATAATGTGCAAAACAAGTAAAACAGGATGATGGAAATCATATCATATGCTTGTAGTGGTGATTAAATCAATAAATGTCTAAAGAAACCATTGGAACAACTAATTATTTACATTGACTTAATATTCTCAACATAAATATTTGAGACTTCTTTCCTGCAAAGTAAAATAATAACATCATAGGTTGAATCGGTATTAAATGGATCAATAGGTGCATAAAGCTTGCTAGTTTGAACAGAGCAATTAATCGTTTAAAGAATAATTATTAGCTATTATAAAATTCTTTGGTTTATACAATAAGCATTTTGAATGTTTCCAAAGCAACTCCTGTGTACTTTCACCAGTGTCCTATTATATTGTATAATAACTCTTTGAAATCTCCTACTATGCTTCCTATGTCTGTCTTCTACTCCTTGCTGAACTTCAGCCTACTTGATCCAAGACACACAAAGATCATATAGAGTAATAGCCAAGATTCTCCTTCCTTGGTTTTTCTTTATCCTTTACTCCTATTCTGAATTACCTTTCATAATTCCCCATTTCCTAACAGTAAAGGGAAATATCTGTGTTTTGCACTCTCTGTCTCCACATCATTGTTCTATCTCTTCTCTCCACCTTAGCTACCAGTATGTATGTACATTCTAATTCAAGATACTTTCAGTCATTTGAGCTGATTTGGTAAACATACATGGCTTCCTTAAATATGTGTTCAAAAAACTCAAGTCTACGGATGTGACAGAATCTTTATCAGGAGGTCACTTGATTAATTTTCAAGAAGCAAAAACATTATTTAGCAAAAAAAAAAAAAAAGCCCTTAGAGGAATACACAATTTAATAAAATATGAGCATTTAATATTTACTAGAGTGGCTAAATTTGATAAATTCCTGGTTGTATCAATAAAAAAGTGTTTTTTTTTTTTCCAGGTCTGAAGTAAGCATTATATGAAATACATGGATATTATGAACAACGTGACAGAGTTTGTTCTACTGGGACTCACAGGGAATCCAAAGATGCAGAAAATTATATTTGTTGTGTTTTTTCTCATCTATGTCATCTCTGTGGTAGGGAATTTGCTTGTTGTGATTACTATTGTTAGCAGCCCATTATTTGGGTCCCCTATGTACTTTTTCCTGGCCCATCTCTCCTTCATTGATTCCTGCTATTGCTCTATCAATACCCCTAAACTTTTCGCAGATGCACTCTATGAAAAGAAGACCATATCATTCAAAGGATGCATGAGTCAAATATTTTGGGAACATTTTGTCGCTGGTAGTGAGATTATCCTGCTCACTGTAATGGCCTTTGACCGCTATGTGGCCATCTGCAAGCCCTTACACTATACAACTATCATGAACGCACGGGTGTGTGGCCTGCTAGTAGCAGTGGCGTGGATGGGAGGACTTCTCCACTCAACCATACAGATTTTCTTCATCTTCAAACTGCCCTTCTGTGGCCCTAATGTCATCGATCATTTTTCCTGTGATCTAAGTCCTTTGCTCAATCTGGCCTGCACTGATACCCACACTCTAGGACTTTTTGTTTCTGCCAACAGTGGCTTCATCTGCCTGCTAAACTTCCTCCTCTTGATGATCTCCTATGTGAGTATTCTACGTTCCCTGAAGAACCACACCATGGAGGCAAGGCGCAAAGCCCTCTCCACCTGTGTCTCCCACATCACAGTAGTTGTCTTATTCTTTGTGCCTTGTATATTTATATATTTGAGACCTGCTGTTATTTTACCCATTGATAAGGCAGTTACTGTATTCTACACTGCAATAACTCCCATGTTAAATCCCTTAATCTACACCTTGAGAAATGCACAGATGAAAGATGCCATTAAGAAACTGTGTAGTAAGAAAGCTATTTCAGATGACAAATAAGTGTGTCTTAAGGGCCTACATTGATGCTACTGAAGAAAGGATCACAAGGACATTTGGTTAATCTCAGCAAAGAATGCTTGTGAAATAAAGAAAATTAAGTTAACTGCCATGTGTCATAAACAGGTGCATGGAAATGGGGAAAAGCTAGCCCATGCCACTCTTTGCATATTGGGAAAAATTCTGTCAAATTGAGATTTTATTATATTAGCATATTCATGTATATGAAAGCATAGTTTTTCCTTCAAATATAATAAATAATAAAATGTATTGATTTCAAGCAATAATCTGTATTGTAATCTAAAGATTTAGGCACTGCTATTTCCCCTTTTAAGAGAGGAAACTGATGGCAGGTGAATGCATCGAGTAGATAGATTGAAGAATAACGACTTCTCAGACCATATGGTTAACTGTATGTGACACTTTCAAGCAATGATGATAGAAAAGTAAGTTAATTAAAATAGTTATGATTTATTGAGGCACAGACTGCTGAGCATACTATAACATTTATTTCATTTCTCTCTGAATTATAATTTTCTTAATCTGCTCAATTTTCTGTATGATAATTAATTTATTATGTTGCCTCTAATATGACATCTAAGTGTGTCACACAATGGGTCACTGAACCACTGTGGTTTAACTAACAATATATTATACCACCTTTCCAAATTATTTTTCGAATCATCACCTTAGGCTGCTCACACATCAGGAATAGTGATGACTCAAATTAAAGAAAATTTTATCGTCAGACATGAATTTCTATTTATTAAAAAGTAATACTCCATTAATTTTTTACATGTCTGCTTAGTAAAAAAAGTTGATAGGTTTTTGTTGGTGTGGATGGATGGAGGAGGATTGAACTCTAATGGTGTCAGTGAGAATACAGAATGTAGTGGACACAGTCCTATCCAATTTAATCTCTCTTCAAGGTCCAGTGCATGCAGGGTCAAGATATAGATGCTAAGCTTCTCAGCTGTTAACAACTCAAACTCTCAATCTCATCTTGACATTTCTACCTGAGAAAATTAAAGGTGTCTTATCTTGGGTATGATGCTACCATCCCAGGTCTACCAGCAAGCAAAGACTGACTGACATGGGTGGAAAAGAGACTGGTCCTCTAACATCCAGGTGGACCCAGCTCTGTACTACAGAGCTCCCTCGGTTCCAGGCTAAATCCAGTTGTTATTTGGGATCACATTTGCCCCACCATAGTCAGATTCCCTTAACCCCTTCTCATTATAAAGCACTTTGATGAAAATTCTTATCCCATGGTCTGTACCTAGGCAACCAATAATGATATGGAGAAATATAGAAAGGTATAAAAACCATTTAAGAGTTATAAGAACAGAACTTAATGTAGGATGAAGATTAGGGATAGTAGAGTTATGAATAAAATGCAGGTTTTGATGGATCACTGGGTGTAGAGGAAACTGAGAAAATGCAATACAAAGAAGATTCATGGCAGGCGATTATTCCATCATGAAGGAGCAGCATTTTGTCCTGATGGCATAGACACTCTGTAAACAGCTTTTCCATAGTCAGGACCCATGATGCTGTCAAGTAGTGATAAATATAGCACCATTTTCTGTGACCCTACAGATCCCACTAGCAAAATATTTGCTTCCTATTCCCACAAACTTATGACTTCCTGAACTAGAGGCCTTAGTTCCAAAGGGAGGATGCTTCTACAGGGAGACAAAACAAAGTTTTATTTAATAGAGGTTAAGACCACCCAATCACTTCAGTGTCCTCAAGCCATTGTATCAATAGGCAAAGAAAGAAGTTACTGTGTTGACTTGAATGATTGACCCTGATACTGAGGGGAAAATGGACTATACTTTACAATGGAGGTAAGGAAAAGTATGCCTGGAATACAGAAGATCCCTTAGGATCTTTCTTATTACCCTGTGTTACGATTGATATCAATGACAATATGCCATGTCAGTGGGACAATAGTAGAAATATCTTGGAATATTATCTTCCCTTCTATGAATACTCAATTCTTTCCTGTTGGTGCCTTACCTCATGGCATCAGGATACTCCCCCTTTCTGTGATTGGCTGTGCTTCTTTTGGCCCAGTGCGCATGACGACCTCCGGCTCACCAAATAAGGGCATGTGCCCTTCCGGGATTAGCCTCTTTTGGCCCAGTGCGCATGACGGCTTTGGCCTGCTTCTTCCGCTTCCGGTCCCCAGCTATAAAGCCCCGCCGAAACCGAAAGTAAACGAGACCTGCGGTAGTTGAACAAAGAGTGCATGTGTCTCCCTCCGTGGTGTACCCCTGTTCTTCAGGTCGCTGCTCTCCCCTAGAGAACCTCGTTGAACAGTCCGCAGGCTCGGACACTTTCCAACCTCCTTCCACAAATCATATTACTTTCCCTTACACTTGCTTTCTCTCTAATAAGATTTGAAAGAGAAATGAATTAATATTACTTGCCTGAAATCTTAGTACAACCAGATACAGAAAATATAAATGATTCATTCCACGGTAAGGAAATCAAGGAAGGTATCCTGTATTTTGTTATTATTTGAGCTTTTGAAAAATAAAAATCTTCACACACCACCTGTTAATATTCAATAGAGAACGACAAGCATCACAGACAAGTAAAGTACAGATAGAGATTCTCCCAAATATAGACTTGTAGTGTAACTCTCTCAGGGAGCGGTGGGTGTTTAAGGGCAGTGTTTACTGAAAACAACTTCTCAAGGTGGCCCCTGAAATAAAACACTAAAACATAGAGTCATCCTCATCTATTCCCCAGTTTTTCCTGTCTGTTTTCTATTTGGTATTATTCTGTTACCATCCTTACACTAACCTGTTCTTTCCGAACTCTTATTGATTTACAATTTTAGCCCATTTAACTCATCTTTTTTTGAAATGTTTAAGTAAAACAATAGTTATTAGGAGATATGCAGATATGTGGTCTTCCGCAGACCACAAATAAACTTTGAGCCAATATTAGGAGGATATGAAAAGTGTGAATCCTCTCTCTGCATCTCTAAAAAGCTATGATTCATGAAAAAAAAAGTATTGTTTTAAAATACTAATTTTATGGGACTCACTTTCCAACATTTTAAAGTGTTTGATTCTGAACAACTTCTCCAGTTGTATAACTATTCTATCTAGCTAATCAGAAGTTATTTAGAATTAGTCAATTTTATCTTTTTAACACAGAAAATTACCTTTTTAAGGTCTTTATTGCATACAATAGACAGACAATCCCAGTAAGTGTAGTTATGAATGTGTTTTATTATCAGAGTTAGTAGAGCAATGAGACATATAACTTTATTACATTTTCAGGGGTAGTAGAGAATATTCAATCTGAAAACACAGTGTTCTCATTCCAGGAAAAAAATAAATAAACACATCTGTTTGATGTCTATAAGCAAAAATATGTAATATTATTACAGAAGTGATAAGGATATCTTCCAAGATGAAGAAAGAAATATCTTTATCGTGAGGTAATCACTGAAGGTCACCAAGAGGATGTTTCTAAGCAATGCTGCCCTAATGTTCCCAAGAGGCTGAAGCAGCTGAGCAGCATTCCAAGGAAAAAAAGAGAGGACAAGAACAGTTTGGATATTTTACACCTAATTATTTTTAAGTCCTTGGTCACTGGATGAATTCCATTAACAGATTTCAGTAAATATATTCAGTTGATACATTTCCATTGCATCTTACACATACCCTGACTAGACCCATTCTTCAATAAATGCTTGTTTATTTGAGAAGTATAATCTCCATTCTCTAGATTGTCTGGTGTAATAGAATACAAATACATTAAAATCCCTCCTTCAAGAATCACAAGAAACTCTGAAATATGCTGGAGGAAACAGAAATATTTCTTAAAATTAATATGTATGTGCTTAAAGAAACTGACTTGTTGGCAATGTGTATGGATAGAAATGTATTTTGAGGTTTCAGACCCGGGTGGAGACTTCAATGTCATCCTGAAGTTATTGATTAAAGAAGAAGAAGTACCATAAGTTTTAATAAGTTAGTGAAATCAAAAGCATTGGTTATACTTAATTTGTTTTAAATGTAGATGTCCAAATATAAAAGAAATAAGATTGTTGTAGAAATGAACATCCAAATGAGATCAACAATATCCAAGTCAAAAACCATAGAACCAGAGAATGCCTAAGAGGATATATATTCTTACCTCCTATGCCAAAAGAAGTAATTCTGTGAGGTAACGGGTATATTGAAACTTTATTATGGGCCTCCCCGGTGGCGCAGCGGTTGAGAGGTGGGTTGCGAAGCTGCCCAAAGCCTCTGTGGCGCCAGTTCAATCCTCGGCTGCTCCCCGGCCACCGGAGGAGGGTCCCTCCTGCATAGCGCACAGACCTCTCCTGTCACCCGCTCCCCTCAGCAGTGTACTTCGGTCCTTCTGCCTGCTCTGCTCCCTGCTCTGGCTCTGGTGAATTCTCTCACCCTCCTGCGCTTCTGACTGTACCCAGTGCATGTATAAACAAAACAAACAAACAAACAAACAAATAAATAAATAAAACATGTGCCTTTATTAAAAAAAAAACTTAAAAAAAACTTTATTATGATAATCAACTCACATGATGAAAGTTTGACAACAAAATCATAGCTGAACAAAATGGTATTAAAAAAAGGAGTAATAACCAGTCTTTTTTACCTTCCCCATCTCCTATTCTCAGACCACAGATTTAGATCCCTAATGGGTCACTTTCATTTTGAATATCTCTGTGTGTCACCCCTATCAACCCATTTCCTGCTTTGCATCTGCAATGTATTATATATAAAAAAGAAAACCATTGAATGTTGGTATAATTTTCAATCTTTCACTCCTCAGATGTCATTTCTAAAGTGGAAAGGTGACCCCTATTCTAGGAAAAGTAGAGAAACTCAAGTTCAGGTATGGCAGGAGAATGTCTGTATTCAGGTTCCAAGTGTAGGGAATAAAATTCCCCAGTCAAAAATGGGTGTTTCTCAAACATGTCTCTCCAGAATACCTGCTTCTAAGATAAAGCCTTTCCATCAAAGCAGGTAATTGATTCCAGGGAGAAAAAGCAGCAACTATAAGACAAGTTCCTTGAATCTTCACAAAAATCCTTTAAATATCCATGCGGGACAAAGCATAAGTGAGCTTTGCTGATCATACCTCCAGAAAGGACTAAAATCATGGGCAATATGACACATGTGTGAGTATTTCCTCCACACTTTCTGCTTTTCACTGTGGAAACAGAGTCATCTGTAGAAGATCATCTTTCTATTGTGTTTCAAATGAATCCCTTCTAAATGCATATGCCAGGTGTTCTATGAAACATTAAGATTCTATGAATGAGGAAAGGACTGAGACTTATAAAAACAAGTGTAGCAAGTGTTTGTTGTATAATGGCTCAACTAAATAGTCTCTTTTTGAGTGTCACATCTTTCATATTGAAGGTTATTTATTCCAAAAGGATGTCAGTTTGAAGATGGCATTATTCTGAACATCCCCAATCATCACTGAGGGAAGCTAGGACTGCAAGGTAAGCTATTTAAAAGTGCTAATGCTTATTAAAGATTGTTATTTCTCATATATGAGCAGCATCATGTTTCCAGATATCTCAAATATGCTAATAGTACATTTCAACCTCTTCCATTCTTCCAAAAATCGGTAAGTAACATCGACCTCATCTGACATGAAAAAACAAAGACTTCTTGAGATTAATTATAGGTTGTCGCCCTCGAACATCAAACAATATGCTTTTGCAAGGAGACATCCCCTTTAACAATCAAGGTACAACATGAGAATTAAAAATGTATTAAATACAATTACACATAGAGAAGATGTAAGTATGAATACTACACTGACATCAACTGTCAGCTGTATACAGAAAACAAAAAAGAGTTTCCTTTCTTGGATCAATTGCTGTGGATAATATGAATATCCATGGAATCTTTAACAAAAATTAAAGGTGGGGCCTCATAAGCTCCTAATAGTGAAAGTTCTCTGTGTATTATTGATCAAAATGCCAATTCTTCCCATCTCCTAAGAGCATACACAAAAATGATGACAGTCTTGTGTGTGTCTAGAGCAGTGTGGTGGATATGCTCACAAACATTCCCATACCTAAATTCCATAAAACTTATGTAGCTTTATTAGAATTCCTACTTTAGATAAGGAAATAAATAGGTCAGTGTCAACAATGTACCCCCATAAAAGAAGTTGCAAGAGGAAGGACCAGAAATCTATCCTAGATGTTTGATTTTATAATACTCTTAACCACAATGGTATTCATTCTCAACTTTTTACAGAAGGGTTTAAGGACTCATGCTTTGGATGAGAGTCCACTTTGGAGAGCTGGGTTTGGAAAAGAAATCAATACTTTTCATTAAATATTATACATTGTTGTACTTGATACATGGGATTTCGAACATGCCATTGTACGTGTGTTTGCTGATAAAATTTCTTCATACCCTTTTGCATCTGAAGTTCTAATAAAATAGTGATAATATTTCTTATATTAAAAAGAGATTACACGTTTAACATTGGACAATAATAACAAAGTAGTGTATGAGAATGCATTTGGAGGTAAACTATATAAATATAATCTGACTGAACCTTGAATCTGTCCTTAACTAGCTTGATCTTGGACAGGATTCTTAACTTTTCTATGCTTTTATCTCATAATGTGTAAAATAAGTAAAAAAAAAAAAGATGGAAATCATATCCTAAATTTGTAGTGAGTACTAAAATAGGAAATGTCTAAAAATCCACTTAGAAAAATCAAATATATGTATTGATTTAATATTATCATTGCTGTTAATATTATCCACCTAAAACTCCAAGACTCATTTCTTTTCTACAAAGGAGATTTAATAATACCAACAACATAGGTTGGATCAGTGTTGGAAGAATCAATATGTGTATAAAGCTTTCTACTTTAAACATAGCAATTAATCATTAAGAGAATAATTACTAGTTATTGTAAAGTTCTTGCATTTATACAAGAAGAACTTTGCATGTTTTCATAGAAACTCCTGTGTACTTTCTGCACATTCCCATCGCAGTGTCCTACTACATTGCATGCTAACTCTTGAATAATCTCCTACTAGGCTTCCTATGTCTGTCTTCTACTCCTTACTGAACTTCAGCCTACTTCACCTAAGACATGCAAAGATCTTACAGAGTTATAGCCAAGACTACCCCTTCTTCAATTTTTGCTTTGTACTTTTTTCATATTTTCAGTTACCTTCCTTTTATTTCCCATTTCCTAAGGAGAAGGGGAAATTCCTTTGTTTTGCTTTTATTCTCTACATCCTTGTCCTATATATCTCTCCAGCATAGCTGCTAGTATGTGTATATTTTCTAGTTCAAGAAAGACTTTCAGTCATGTAAGAGGATTTGGTGAACATACATGACTATGTGTTTACAAAGTACCCTAAGTCTCAGGTATTAACAGATTCATAATCAGTGAAATCACTTGAATAGTCTTCAAAAAACAGAAACTGTTTTCTCTCCAAAAAAGAAACTCTTAGACTAATTCACAGTTAATAGAGTCAGACACTTAATATTTACTAAAATGGCTAAATTTGATAGATTCAATGTTGCATCAATGAAAATGTGACATTTCTTTTCAGGTCTGAATTAAGCATCACATGAAACCCATGGCAATTAGAAACAACGTCACAGAGTTTGTTCTACTGGGACTCACAGGGAATCCAAAGATGCAGAGAATTGTATTTGTTGCATTTTTTCTCATCTATGTCTTCACTGTGGTAGGAAATTTGCTTGTTGTGATTACTATTGCTAGCAGCCCATTATTTGGGTCCCCAATGTACTTTTTCCTGGCCCATCTCTCCTTCATTGATACCTGCTATTGCTCTATCAATACCCCTAAACTTATCGCAGATTCACTCTATGAAAAGAAGACCATATCGTTCAAAGGATGCATGAGCCAAATATTTTGGGAACATTTCATCGGTGGTAATGAGATTATCCTGCTCACTGTAATGGCCTTTGACCGCTATGTGGCCATCTGCAAGCCCTTGCACTATACAACTATCATGAACGCACGGGTGTGTGGCCTGCTAGTAGCAGTGGCATGGATGGGAGGCCTTCTCCACTCAACCATACAGATCCTCTTCACCTACCGACTACCTTTTTGTGGTCCTAATGTCATAGATCACTTTATGTGTGATCTGATTCCTTTGCTCAATCTGGCCTGTGTGGATACCAGCATGCTGGGACTCTTTGTTGCTGCCAACAGTGGGTTCATGTGTTTATTGAACTTCCTCTTTTTGATGGTTTCCTATGTGATTATTTTGTGCTCCCTAAAGAACCATAGAGCAGAGGCAAGGCAGAAAGCCCTCTCCACCTGTGGCTCCCACATCACAGTAGTTGTCTTATTCTATGTGCCTTGTATATTTATATATATGCGACCTGCTGTTAGTTTACCCATTGATAAAGCAGTTTCTGTATTCTACATTGCAATAACTCCCATGTTAAATCCCTTAATCTATACTTTGAGAAATGCACAGATGAAAGACGCCATTAAGAAACTGTGTAGTAAGAAAGCTATTTCTGAACACAAATAAGTGTGGCTTGAGACCCACATTGACACAACTGAAGAAAGGGCCAAAAGGACATTTGGTTAATCTCAGCAAAAAATGCTTGTGGAATAAAGAAAATAAAGTTAACTACAATGTGTCATAGATTGTGCACTGAATGGAGCATAAACAGGTGTATGGATATGGGGAAAAGCTAACCCATGCCACTCCGCATATTGGGAAAATTCTGTTGAATTGGAATTTCATTTTACTACCTCATCCATGTATATGAAAGCATAGTTTTCCTTCAAATATAATAAATAATGAAATGTATTGATTTCAAACTATAATCTCTAGTAATCTAAAGATTTAGGCACTGCTATTTTCCCTTTTAAGAAAGGAAACTGATGAAAGGTAAAGATATCAAGTAGATATATTGAAGAGTTAGTGATTTCTCAGACCCTATGTTAACAAATGTGACACTTTCAAGCAATGATGATAAGTTAATTAAAATAGTTATGACATATTGAGGCACAGATCTCTGAGCATATTATAACTATTACTTTATTGTTTATATCTGAATTATAATTTTATTAATAATTCTGCTCAATTTTCCGTATGATAATTTATTATGTTGCCTCTAATATTATGACATCTAAGTGTGTCACAACAATGGGTCATTGAACCACTGTGGTTTAACTAACAATATATTATACCAACTTTCCAAATTATTTTTTGAATCATCACTTTAGGCTGCTCACACGTCAGGAAGAGTGATGACTCAAATTAAAGAAAATTTTATCGTCAGACATGAATTTCTATTTATTAAAAAGTAATACTCCATTGATTTTTGATACATGCCTGCTTGGTAAAAAAAGTTGATAGATTTTTGTTGGTGTGGATGGATGGAGGAGGATTGAATTCTAATGGTGTCAGTGAGAATACAGAATGTAGTGGATATAGTCCTATCCAATTTAATCTCTCTTCAAGGTCCAGTGCACGCAGGGTCAAGATATAGATGCTAAGCTTCTCAGCTGTTAACAGCTCAAACTCTCAACCTCCTCTTGACATTTCTACCTGAGAAAATGAAAGGTGTCTCATCTTGGGTATGATGCTACCATCCCAGGTCTACCCACAAACAAAGACTGACTGACATGGGGGTAAAAGAGACAGGTCCTCTAACATCGAGGAGGAATTTTTTCCGTAGTACAACATGTGCTACAGAATTCTCTTAGGTCCAGGCTACATTTTCAGGGGTAGTAGAGAATATTCAATCTGAAAACACACTGCACATGCTTTGGGTTGGAGTTTTGGAGAACAATCTCCTGAGAATTAACAATTTCCCAGTGTTCTCATTCCAGGAAAAAAAAAAAGTAAAATAAGCACATCCACTATTTTCTATAAGCAAACATATATAACATTATTACAGAAGTGATAAGGATATCTTCCAAGATGAAGAGAGAGAATTTTCTCTATCATGAGGTAATTGCTGAAGGTCACAAGGAGAATGTTTCTAAGCAATGCTGCCCTAATGCTCCCAAGAGGCTGAAGCAGCTAGGTAGCATTCCAAGGACAAAAAAGAGGACAAGAACAGTTTTTATATTCTAAACCTAATTATTTTTAAGTACTTGTTCAAGGGACGACTTCCATTACAGATGTCAGTTGATACCTTTACTATTCTTTATTTGTTCCCATTGTATCTTACACATACCCTGACCAACCCATTCTTCAATAAATGCTTTGTTTATTTGAGAAACACAATCTCCCTTCTCTGGATTGTTAGTTACAATAGAATAAAAATACATTAAAATCCTTCTTTTGAGAATCACAGTGAATCTCTGAAATATGCTGGAGGAAACAGAAATATTTCTTAAAATTAATAAATATGTGCTTAAAGTATTCTGAATTGTTGGCAATGTGTATGGATAGAAATGGATTTTCAGATTGCAGACTGGAGTGGAAACTTTAATGTTATCCTGAAGCTGTTGTTTAAATATTGGAAGGTGCACCATAATTTTTAATAAGCTAATGAAATCAAATTCATTGGTTATACTTAATTTGTTTAAAATATAGATGTCCAATATAAAAGAAATAAGATTGTTGTAGACATGAACACACAAATGTGATCGACAATATCCAAGTCAAAAACCATAGAGTCAGAAGAATGCCTAAGGATATACTTTCTTACCTCCTTTGCCCAAATAAGGAATTCTGTGAGGTGACAGGTGTATTATAACTTTATTATGGTAATCAACTCTCATGAGGAAAGTTTGACAAGCAAATCATAGACGGACATCTTGATTTAAAAAAAAAAAAAGAGTAACAACTAGTCATTGTTACCTTCCCCATCTCCTATTCTCAGGACATAGGCTTAGATCCCAAATTAGCCACTTTCATTTTGGATGTCAGTGTGTGTTACCCCTATCAGCCCACACCTGCTTTGTATCAACAATACATTATTAAAAAATGGAAAACACTGAATCTTGGTGCATTTTCAATTATCCACTCCTCAGATGTCACCATTTCTAAAATGGAAGATGATCCTTGCTCTAGGGAAACTCAAGTTCAGGTAATGACAGGAGGCTCTCATGTGTTTAGGTTTCAAGTGGAGGAAATACAATTCCTCACTCAAAAATTGGTGTTTCTCTAACCTGTCTCTCCTGAATACCTGCTTCTAAGATAAGCCTTTCCATCAAAGCAGATAATTAATTCCATAGAGAGAGCAGCAACTATAAGACAAAGTCCTTGAATCTTCACAAAAATCCCTTTAAATATCCACGTGGGCCAAAGAGTACATGAGCTTTGCTGATCACATCTCCAGAAAAGGACTAATCATAGGCGACATGACACCTGTGAGAGTAATCTCTTCCAAATTTTCTGCTTTTGGCTTGTGGTACAGAGTCATCTGTAGAAGATCATCTTCCTATTGTGTTTCAAAGGAATCCCTTCTAAATGCATACCCCAGGTGTTCTATGATACATTAAGATTCTATGATAGAGGACATGGTTGAGACTTTATAAAAACACATAGCAAGTGTTTATTGTATAATGGCTCATCTGAATAGTCTCCTTTTGAATGTGATATCTTTCATACTGAAAGTCGTTTACTACAAGAAGTTGTCAGTTTGAGGATGACATTGTTCTGAACACCCCAAACATCTTTAAGGGAACCTAACAATGTAAGTTACACTTTTCTGTAGTGCTAATGCTTATTAGAGATTGTCACTTCTCATATATGATCAGAATCATGTTTGCAGACTTTTCAAACATGGTAGTGGTACATTTCACGCTCACCCATCTTCCAAATATTGTTAAATAGCATTGACTTCATCTGACAGATGAAAAATCAAAGACTTCTTGAGATTAATTATAGAATGTTGCTCTCTAACACCAGACAACATGCTTTTGCAAGGAGGCATCTCCTTTAACAATCAATGTACATCATGAGAATGAAAAGCGAATTAAATACGATTACACTTAGAAAGGATGTAAGTATGAATACTGACTTCAACTCTCAGCTGTATAGGGAAAGCACAAAAAGAGTTTCCTTCCTTGGATCAGTTTCTGTGGATAATATGAAACTCCATGGAATCTTCAACAAAAATTAAAGGTGAGAACTCATTATCTTCTTGCATAGTGAAATGTCTCTGTGTACTATTGATCTAAATGCCAATTCTTCCCATCTCCTAAGTGCATACATAAAAATGATGAAAGTCTTGTGTGTGTCGAGAGCAGTGTGGTGGATATGCTCATGTACATTCCCATAAGTAATTCCCATAAAGCATATGTAGCTTTATTATAATTCCTGCTTTAGATAAGGAAACAAATAGGAAGGGTGCCAGCAATGTACCCACATAAAAGAATTTGCAAGTTGAAGTATCAGGAATCTAGCCTAGATGTTCTGATCCTACGATATACTTAACCACATGGTATTCATTCTCAACTTTTTACAGAAGGGTTTCAGGACTCATGCTTTGGAGGGAGAGTTCACTTTGTGCAGCTGAGATTGGAAAACAAATCAAGTTATCAGTTCCTTTCAATAAATGTTATACCTTAATGTGTTTGATATATGGGATTTTGAACATGCCATCGTATGTGTGTTTGCTGATAAAATAAATGGCTTCACATTCTCTTGCCTATAAAGTTGTAATAAAATAATTATAATATTTCTCATCATATTAAAAGGAGATTACAAGTTGAACATTGGTAATGATAACAAAATAGTGTATGAGAATGCATTTGGAGGTAAACTATTTAGGTATAATCTGACTGAGCCTTGAATCTGTCCTTAACTAACTTGATCTTGGACAGGATTCTAAACTTTTCTATGCTTTTATCTCATAATGTATGAAATAAGTAAAAAATCATGGTGGAAATCATATCCTAAATTTTTAGGGAGTGTTAAATTAGGAAATGTCTAGAAATCGACTTAGAAAAAACATATATATATATATATATTTATATAGATTTAATATTCTTATATTCTTATATAGATTTAATATTCTTCAAGCAGTGAGGCCAGGAACGGATGAGAATGGATGTGATTCACAGGCTGTTTACTGGAACCACAGTCTGGAAAGCACAAAAGCTTCAGAAAACTGACTTTCCTTCCAAGAGTGTGTGACGACACCACACTTTCCTCAAGGCATTCTTCACCTCCGCATTCCTGAGCGTGTAAATCAGAGGGTTGAACATGGGGGCAATGATGGTGTAAAACAGAGCAAACACTTTGTCTTCTGGGAAAGTTGTAGCTGGTCTAATATAAACAAACAAAGCAGGTGCAAAAAATAGAACTACAACCATCACATGAGAAGAGCAAGTAGAAAGAGCTTTGCTGCGGCTCTCAGCAGAATAGGCCCTGATGGTGTACAATATGAAGAAATAAGGCAGCATCAAGACCACAAAGGTTACCAAAGCAATTAAGCCTGAATTAGCAATGACTAAGAGACCTATGATGTGTGTGTTAGAACAAGCCAATTTCAGCGAAGGATACACATCACAGAAGTAGTGATCGATCTCATTGGGGCCACAGAATGGTAAGAAGATGGT